TTCTTCTAATTTCTACTGTTGTCTGTCCTGTGTATGATGACGTCCTAACGAGAGTGTACAGGAACCGCAGCCACGGCCAGTGTGATCAAGATACAACAACACAGGTGAGTATGCAAGACAACAATAGAACAGCAAAGGCAAGTAAGTCGGCCAACACAATCAACAACAATCAATTGTCAGCATTCTTTCCTCTATGGCTGTACTATCTGCAGAGCCAATGCAGCCAGACACAAGGGCCGGTACGTGGCACTACAACAAATCGTGAAGTTGTACCGCCTGCCAGCACACAAGTGCAAGTATCAACACCTCACCCACAGCAACATGCCAAGCATGCCACGTGTCGCCCCTGGAACGCCAACGCGGCACATGTGCCACATCAGCGTCAAGAGCCAGCACGGCCTTCTGGAGGGATGCCACATCAGCAATGCCTGGACTGCCAACTCATCCAACACAGGTATGCCACATCAGATCGAAGGAACACTGCTGAAGTGTGGAACGCCACATCAGCAGGTAAATGCCACATAAGCAACGAAGTGCCACGTGAGCAATGTGTTCGTATTCCAATTCAAAGTGTCCACGTCATCATCTTGAAAGGAGGCTGCACACACGTGTGGCACTCAATGTCCAGACTCGCGATATTAATCGCGCGCGTTTATAAACGTGCTTCGGCCCTTACACGTGCGACACCTCCCACTTACCTGGGAGCCATGTGGCAGCTGACAGCAGATTGCGACGAAGAAGGTATGCTCTGATACCAGGTTGTAATGAACCCAGTCTGCAAGATACTCGCCAGATGTCGAAATACAAAGTAACTCAACTTTGAACAATGCCCCCAATAATTATGAATGTGATTTCTGATACAATGTCTCGTTTCCAGTAGAAGAAGAGAGTGGAGGGGGAATAGACGGAGTGGAAGGTGGAAGAGAAAGTAATCATGAATGACCACACAGAGAGTAGCCCAACATTCCCCACTCCTCCGGGCTTCCCCTCGCCTCCACGTCAGCAGAACAGTATCTAGTAACGAGTTCGACAAATCCTGATCACAATGAACTTGAATGACAACAGCGCACAATATCGACACCAACCTCAGGTAAGTATCCCGATCCTCCTCAATCATCCACAGATCCCGATCTCCCTCCTTGTCGCGTCCAGTCACCCAATGTAGACAGCGTGGCCAATGCCACGTCAGTGATGAAGACAGGTGGCATGCGCACATCAGCAATGAAGACAGGTGGCATGCACCACATCAGCAGAGGCTGGCGCTCAGCAGAGAAGGCGCCAGCATGCTGCCTCAGTCCCGTGTTGTCGTCCACAGTGCCAGCACACAGCCAGGGTCAAGCCAGCATCCAGCTAGTGTCAAGCCAGCATCAAGGCAGCATAGCAAGACTGAATGTTGACCCCCTGGAGGCAGGGTCTTATGTAGTGATTGACCGAGTTGACCTCCCTCAGCTCTCCCACCCACGGTGGCCCAGATTGACTCACAGCCAAGGGCCTGGATTGCGTACAGTTGCAGACTTTCACTTGGTGCTGATGCTGTCTTGGTACCTGCATACAAACAAGTGTGTGTGTCTGACCGGCGGCCTTGGCTGGGTACATACAGACTTTGACTCTTGGCCAGCTGGGCAGTTGACCAAAGTCAACTGTCAGGCGCACAGGCCATAGGTCAACAAGGGAATTTCTCCCCCTGGCCTTTGCGGCCTCAGACCGGGGTCGCGGTCTGTGTTTGGCCTGAGGGCCACTTCAGGGCATATCAGGCAGGGTATTGCAGTTGGGACATTTCCCTTTTTTAGGCTGAGGCTGGCAACATTGTTTCCCCTCATGGTGTGCACCTTGTTCTTTTCATGCAGCATGGAGGCAATTTCAGGAGCGGCTGTCAGATTTCGCTCTAACATCCAACCACGGCGCGAGTCATGCTCGGATAGTTGGATTGGATTCTAAACCTAACAGCAAAACAAAAGATGACAAGCAATTGTTGTACATCAACATTTTGCAGCGAAATGCGGATATCCACAGCAAGCAAACAACAGTGCGGAGAGGAGTCACGATAGAAGTGCATCATCTCCGAGTAAGCGGCAATTGATTTTGCGGCACGAGGAAAAACAATTTGTGTCAATAGTACTGGGGGGATGATATATTCAGCATACAATACAAAGCTGGGAACCCAAACTTCCAATCCCAGTTGCCCAAACAAAGATCTGAAGGCCAAAAGCGCACAAAGAGCAATGAAGCGTGGCACGCACAGAGGTGCACACAGGCCAGGTGGCGATATTGCATTGATGACTTTCAAAGAGTATTTGCGAGTGTGTTTGGCAATAGTGGAGATATCGTTGTCCCTTACCAGGAAACCAACAGCTTGCCTGATATATCTCAGCTCCTCCCAGGAAGCACCTGCATACTGAGATCAGCCACATACAGAACATAGAATTGATACATGCTCAGTCGAGTGATGTATATGGAGCCAAGGCTCCGCAAAGTGATGAAAAGGACTCGACTGGACAATGTAGCGTCAGCAAAGCATCAACAAGCAATGTACATCCAGATACATACGAAAATAGCATATGTAGCGCAGCGAAAGACTCAAAGATACGACCTGACATGTCAGATACTGAAGCGACACCCATCATACACCACACATATGAGAGAGAGGGGAGGGACTGTATACATGGAAGAAAGGTCCCTCATTGAGCACGCACATGGGGAGATACCATGGATGAGGAGATGGGGAAGAGGCGAGACAAGGATGGAGGTGAGGGAGGAGACCAAGATCGTTATAGCGAAGTCCAAAAATAGTATCCCTGCCAAATGTCCAATCAATGTCTGCCACAAAATGTCGAATCAGATCCTGGGCCTCATGGCCCAATGTAACCTCTGCCTGTAACCTCTCTCTCTCTCTCTCTCTCTCTCTCTCTCTCTCTCTCTCTCTCTCTCTCTCTCTCTCTCTCTCT